GTTGTTCTTTTTTATTATTACTGTTATTATTATTATTATTTTCTAGTTTTAATTGAATATTTTTCTATTTCTTTTTATCTCCACAACAGTATGGCGATCTGAGCAGCACCGACGGCTCCAGCGTCGGTTCGCACTGGAACCCGACCGGCGCCAAGCACCACGTTCCCGAGACCACGCCGCGCCACGTCGGCGATCTGGGCAACATCCAGTCCTACGACTCGGCGACGGGCCTGGCCCACTTCAACTACACCACCACCAACATCCCCGACGTGCATTCCCTGCTCGGCCGCGCTGTACGTCATCCTCGTCATCACCGTCACCATCACCATCATTATCGCGTGGCACAATGCTCACAATTGTCGGTGCCTGATGTGCAATCATCAGGTCGCAATCCACAGCGGCAAAGATCATGGCTCTGGCTACGGCTGCGACCAAGCCGGTACGTTCATCCGTCTCTCTCGTTGGACGTGTGCGTGTGTGCGTGTGTGCGTGTGCGTGTGTGCGTGTGTGCGTGTGTGCGTGTGTGCGTGTGTGCGTGTGTGCGTGTGTGCGTGTGTGCGTGTGTGCGTGTGTGCGTGTGTGCGTGTGTGCGTGTGTGCGTGTGTGCGTGTGCGATGATAAGAAGGTGCGTGGAGAAGAATGCTAAGAACGCGTGGGTGCTGTGCGTTCAGGTACGTCGGGCAAGCGGATAATGGTGGGCGTGATCGGCCTTGCCCACCCGTCCACGGTTCCGTCCCCGGTGCCCATCGCCGTCGACAACACCTTTGCCAACGAGGACTGCACCGCCCGGCCCAGCAGCGCCCACAGCCTCACCGCTCCCCTGGCCGCCCTTCTCGGCTACCTGCGGGCCTAAGCTCCACTCGGCCTCTTCCCAACAACCACCACCAGGCGCAACACACTGACAACCCGACGAGCGATTGCTCCAGTACACAGTGGTGGCTCGAAGTTGAAATTGTGCTACACTCACACAAAGAACAAGTGGGTTAGAAAATGTGTGGAGAACCCGCTCACCGGTTGAGTTCCAAGCACCACACCAACCGGCACAAAACACAACGGGGGACACGACACCCGGCAACGCACGCAAGGAGTGAAAAACCGTGTGGTGCCGCGGCTCCGGAGTGAGCGAAAAGAACGAAAGCGACCGTTAGCCGAATCATGATTAATTGTGGTTTCATTAATTTATCTATTTTTTGTCGTCACTGCGTTGCCTTCGCTCTTTGTTCGCTCTTGGTTTCTTCGATCATCATCCATCTTCAGACGCCAGTCGCTCAAGCGCTCGAAATACCTTCAGAGGGTACACACCCTTCATCTTCTTCATCGGCGCATGATTTCTTCGTTCTCTCCTTCCCTCTCTTTCATCTCCGAACGTGTTGCCTACTTGGCGCCGTGTTAGGCAACAGCTTATCGAATCACTCCATCTCGTTCTTTAATTTGTTCTCTCTTCGTTATTCTTCTCCATCTTCCATCTCCTCTCCTTGTTCAATCGTGGCGCAACTCATTTACCGATTCATTGAATAATGGAACGGCATGGGGGGGGGGACTTGATGGATAAGGAACGAAACTAACGCGAGGCCCTCACATTAAC